CATTTGTTACATTTCACGTTTTCAATTTAAATGTTGATTCTGATTGCATGTACATTAATTTCTAGAATGCTTCTATTGTAATTTTGAAAAGGACCACAGCCCGTATGGTCGAAACGTCAATAAATATAGTTTAACAAATCTAATAGACAGCCAGTGTAGTCAGTTTAATATCTACTACCTTGATAATAATAAACTTTTTGGATTTGACATTAATTTTAGAAAACAACAAGATAATTACTGATTGGTATTACAAACCGACATTCTCGAGGAGGTATTTACATTTCTTGTCTCAGCATCCATTTTGTCAAAAGCGGGGAACTATGTACGATCTAGTGGATAGAACAATTTTATTATCACATCCACGATTTCATTATAAAAATCCCGTTACCGTTGTCAGCATACTTTTAGAAAACTGTTATCCGCTTGACTTGATCTTCAATACTATTAATCAACGTTTAGTAATTTTATTCAAAAAATTAAAAAATACCACAATTAACGTTAACAATAATAATAATGATAATAATGAACAAACATGTTTTTTCACTATACCATTTTTACCCGGTTTGACTGAACAATTTAGAAATATTATTAGGGACATGAATATTATATTATATATAGGATTATTGAAATTAAATCTCAAAAATGAGATTATTTCATATTTTAAAATCTTGGCCGTGACCAAGTAAAATTTGTTGCCTTGTGCACAGATATTTAATTCTAACGAAAAAATTTAGTTTCGTTGGGATAACGCACTGTCTTCCGCGATTGACTCTTATCGCCTGTCTTACACTTTAAATTTATAATTAAATTATCCTTTTTTAGATTTAATAAGTTAAATAAATATATACGAGTACATAAAGATACTATTCCTAAAATGAATAATACCAACGTTGTTTATAAAATTAATTGTTCAAACTGCGACGCTTCTTACGTTGGCCAGACTAGTAGAAGACTGACCACAAGAATTTCTAAACATAAGAAACATATAGTTAGAAATACTAATACTAAATCAGTAATAACGGACCATCGCGTTAATTTTAATGAATTGAATTTGATTGGGAGAATATTAATATTTTAGATAATAATATTACGGGAAAAGATCAGTATCAGAAATGATATACATAAAAAGACAAAATAATAGTCTCAATCTACAGACTGAAAGTCTATCTGATATTTATGTTGAAGCTATAGAGAGACTACCTAAACTCTAAGGTTATATAACAAACACAAAATGATTATAGTTGTTTGTCACTTTTTGTTTCCAACTGAGCTTCAGTATCCTCTAAGCCGTTCTACTGACATGAAAATTACACTAGCGTCACTTTTGTTACTGTTACAATTAAAATACTGTCACATCATAAATATATGTAAGTTTTTATTAGCATATTTTTTTGATACCATTTGTTAGATTATTGTTTCATAACGCATTTGATTGTAGATCTTATTAGTGAGGTGTAATGAGAAAATTATTTTAATTTATAGGATGCGATTAATGTTTTATATTTTAACACCTGCCAACCTCGTAGTCAGAAAACTAAAGAGAAGCGTTTCCTACAGTAAATGTGATGGATTAGTGAGAATCATCTTAGTGTTAATCTTACGACGTTTTATTTCATTTATTGATGTAACCGCGTTTAAATATGTTTATTAGACTTTTATACGTTAAACATGAACTTTAGACTTTTGTGATTTTAATTTGCTTTGTGTACTGCGCTGAAGAAGATCCGAAAAATTGGATCGAAACGTTCGCTTTTTCATTTGTTTTAACTTTCGAGTTTATTTTTATAATTTTATATTAATTTAAACTTTATTGTTTCAAGTAAAATTATGACATATTACGCATTAGAGTCTATTTTTTAATGAACATTTTGGTTTGATAAGTCGATGAATTTAAATTGGGTTACGCTTATATCATTTATTAAAATAGATATTGTTTCTAATCGGCTAACCATTTTTTAGCTAAGATGGTAAACTTTTTAATTATGTCAAAAAACATGTAAACGAGCTCACTGTTGTTAGTAGAACAAGTTGACGGTCCATTCCACGTCATCAATTCTTTTGAACATTATTAGTTAAAAATATCGTCAGAACCGCTTGATATGAGAATCTAAAACAATTAGATGTTATCCAGCATCAAAAAGTTAGTCCCCATCATCAAGGATATTTCCGAGTAAGTTCGTCATTGTAGTATATTTCACCGTGATTGTCTAAGAATATTTTTATTTTTTCGGTATATTAATTTATATTAATGTTATTTTTTTTTTTTTTTTTTTTTTTTTTATGTGAAAGATCTTGATTGTGATTAGAATTGCTTACTTAAATTGATGAGTAGTCATGATTCCGCCAAGTCGATGTGTTCACTATACAAAGTCACAATATGATGTGTCGAATTCAAACCGTGACTCCTATTATTATTATCATTTATTTATAAGACAATTCTTCTAGAATGTCAAAATATGACTCGTCAAGCATATCGGTATCTTTTTTTAAGTTTAGACCGTTTTTTGTTCCTTTATATGAATCATTTCAGAAACATTTCTCTTCTGGAAATTAGATTCGGAATCTAAAATTTTTATGTCTTCCCAATTAAATGAGTGTTGGTAATTAAGAATATGTTCCGAGATGACCGAGTGCTTTGACGAATCTAACTTTATATTATTTACATGTTCTTTAACTCTCGTTTTAAGTTGTCTTTTGGTTTGGCCAACATATGTCGCATCGCAATCGTGACATGAGATCTTATAAACAACATTGGAATTAGTTGAAAATTGATTTTTATCTTTATGAACCTTGATAAAACGATTGAGTTTATCAAGACAACGATAACCTATAGTCATTTCTGTTTTTTTGATAGATGATGCGATTTTGTCAGAAATGCTATTCACATAAGGAATAACAAAGAAATTCTTTTTTTCATTATCTCCATCTATTTTAGGAACCTTAGTAATATTATTGTCATTAGTCAAGATATTTAGTTTGGAATTAATAAGATACCTAATTCTTTGATTAATAGCGGAGAAAATAAATTCTAAAGGGTAACCGTTGTTACGTAAAATAGTTATGATTGAATTTATATTCTTATTATGAAATTCTGGATGTGAAAGAAGAAGAGCTCTATTTACTAAGTTATAAACAATGCCTTTTTTTTGGCAGAAAGGATGGTTAGAGTAATAGGAAAGAGTTCTTCCAGAAAATGTTTTTTTCTGAAACCAATCAACAAAAATGGTATTGTTAATTAATTTCAATGATACATCTAAGAAATTTAAACAACGGTTATCCTCATATTCCAATGTGAATTTGAGTCTGTCATGGTATTTGTTAAAAGAATCCACAATCAAATCAACCTTCTCCTCAGGAACTGTCATAATGATATTATCAACGTATCTATAATAAAATGGGATGTCGATATTAATCAAGTCAAGAACAGAATTTTCCAAATCTTCCATTATTAAGTCAGCTATTATGGGCGATAATGGTGATCCCATGGGGGTGCCGAAAATTTGTTTATAAATTATATTGTTAAATGTAAAATATGTAGATGACAGAACAAATTCTATACATTTAATAAATTGTTCTTTTGGAATTTTTGTCCGTGACTTAATATACTCCCATCTATTATTAACACTGTTTATCGCAAGGTTGATAGGTACATTAGTGAAGAGAGAGATAACATCTAATGATATCATTATTTCTGAATTCCTTAACTTTTTTCCAGTAAGAATCCTGCACAATTCAAAACTATTATTTATATGGCTTTTTGGTGGGGGAAGGCTTTGTGACAATACATTGTGAATATATGTGGCTATATTGTAAAGAGCCGTATTAATAGATGATACAATAATTGTAAAGGGAATGTTCTGTTTGTGAATTTTAGGGAGACCGTAAGCTTTCGGTAGTATGGAATCACTAGAGTGCATAAAATAATATTCTTTTTTTGAAATATATCCTTTTGTTAGCAAATTTTTGATAATGTAATTGAGTTCTCTTTCAATTTTTAAGATTGGATTCTTATTGACCACATATACAAAAGAATTTTCTTATTGTTTTTTATATTTACTGAAGAAGGCTGAGGTAACAGCCGAAACGTTTTATTTTTTATTATCATTGTATTCACTAAGAAATAAATTAATTATGTGTTGACATTACATCTCTCACTAATTTAATATGCTCGTTATAGTTGGCCCTGTCTTTCTAAATCTTAATTTTATAATATCACACGAGCCTTGTCTTTAAATATCTAATTGTATTCCTTATTAAATTTATTGTTTCTATCAGTATATATTGATTAAATATAATTAATTAATTTTTATAACCGTAATATTACTTCTGCTCTTATTAGCTTTTTATATGTGTAATACTTAAAAAAAAAGGAAGATATTTCTCTCCCGTTTATGGAAGATTTTCCGCGAGGATACAAAGCTGCCGAACGTCAGCGCTTTTACATTTGCACCATCTATAAATAACGCCCATAAAATGCCCATAAAATGTGAAACAAAGGTCTTTTTATGAATTTTAGAATGCTCTCGATTAGAAATTCGAGCAGCCGAACGTTGGCACCAATGTGTCGCAATTTAAAAGAAATAAGGAAGTTGTTTCTCTCTTGTTTATGGGAGATTTTCCGCGAGGATACAAAGCTGCCGAACGTCAGCGCTGCTACACTCGTATCGCCTATAAATAACATTTTGACAGTTTGTCGATAGGTTGGCGCTAAAATCTCAATTCCCTTCCGTGTGTCAGAACAATAAAATGCCAAAAAAAATGAGTTTTATGGATTTTGGAGTGCTCGGTTTTAAATTCGGACAGTCATAAACCCCCGCCCCGCATGACGTCATTCCCCGCGCCCTCAAGATATCCCCTCGCCCCGCACCCCGCTCAGAGGACCTGCGTTAGAACCCGCTTTATATCACTACTCATGTCGGCAGAGTGACCGTTTTCATCTTCTCCCGACGTTCCTCCGTAGGAGGATTATCGGCGACGACTAATGGCTCTGCGGTATCGCGAACTCGTTAAATTCTTTTTTGTATCGCCCGTTCGTAATCGAGCTGTCCTTCAGAAGCTCCGCAAATCGGTGCTTCTGCACCGAAAGAAGCAGCATGAATTACTACATGCCGAGACGTGATGAAACGTGCGAGAAGAAATGCGACGAGTAAGTGTAACTTTTTTATATTTTTTATTTTTGTACAAGGTATAATTATTACTTAATTTTACAGCGTTTCGTTGGAGCCTCGTGCGGCTCGTATAATGGCAAGGCGATACGCACTGACAACCACGGAATTCAAATTCCTCGAAATTGGCATCAGAGTGGATCCGCCGAGTTACGTGGAGATTGCCATAAGAGATCATCGTGGAAAACAGCTAATACTATCTCTCGAAACGTGGAAAGGACTCTACGAGCAATGTCACGCTATTCAAAATTATCTGAACAATGATACCACTAAAGATGTGTACAATTTCATAAGTGTTGGACCGCATGAGAATGGTCAAATCGACATTACACCGAATGTTCGAGCTCGATCCATGCATCGAGCTAACGTTTGATCGATTGACGAGACTAACTGCAACAGTAGACATCAAATTTACGCAATTCTCAAATGTAGCATCTGCTGTAAGATGCTAAAGATTTGCCGAATGCGATACGCGCTAGCGACGCCTTTAACAAGCATCAACTCGTCGATTGCGAGCTGGTGGCTTTAGTCCTTAGTTCTTAACATGTACGAAGAAATTATATTTGTGTAAATATAAGAAGCATAAATATAAGAATAAATATAGTTATAAGTCTATATATTGGTGTACTTTATTTGCGCGCCACCCGTCGCATTTCGAATTAATTATTTTTGCAAAGATCATGGCCGCAGCAGCGGCAGCGAGAAAAATCGATATTTTTATCTTACGAGGTTGGAGATAAGACGGGCCGCTCGATATTCATATCGCGACGCGCAGGCGACAGAAAAGATATCTTGAGACATACGCGTTTGAGAGAAGACGCACGCATTCGAGTAAGAGAGAGAGGGAGGGAGAGAGAGAGAGAGAGAGAGAGAGAGAGAGAGAGAGAGAGAGAGAGATTTATTAGCTGCAGTAGCTACATATACATAATATCACAATAATTTTTTTACATTGTAACTTATTACACATTATTGGTTATGCAAACAAAACAAAAGGATTGCCACTATACTATACTCCCCGCTCCCTCCCCATATTATATTTTACCAATACTCTTTTAAATCCCTTCAAAGTTTGCTCATCTTTCATCTCGTTCGGCAAATTATTATACATTTTAAATCCGTCGTGCATCAACATTTTTGTTCCTCTCTAGTCCCACATCTAGCAATACATAGATTTTTACCCTTCCTCGTGTCTCTATTACTTCTTGCTTGCACTATCTCTATATCCTGACATAAATATTTCGGACACATTTCATTCACTATTTTATATATTAATAAACAAACATTATATTCGATTCTTTTTTTAACAGACATAAACTTTCACGTTTCTAAGATATTCATAATTCTCTCCTTCCTATCTCTCCTTAAAATAATTCTCATCCCCTGATTTTGCATTTTTTGCAAGTGCTGTACATTAGTTTCACTTAAACCTATAAGAATCGACGCACAATATTCAAATAGCGGCGCTACAATAGTTTTGTTTATTTTACATCGCATGTCACGCGACATATCCTCACTAACTCTTCGCAAAACCCCTAATTTTGCCCCTGCTTTCCTACTGATATAATCCGCATGAGCCGAGAAATTTAACTTCTTATCTATTATTATTATTCCTAGATATTTTATTTCGTTTACCTTCTCTAATATTTCACCTTTTAATTTGATTACTACATTACTTTCAACCGCTTTCTTTCTAACATCTCTAATTACCATAACTTTCGTTTTATTTACATTTACAACTAATTTATTTATATCTAACCATTTCTCTACTTTTAACATTTGTTCATTTAAGTTGTCACTAATTTTTTGACTCGAGAATCCCGTGGTATATATCAGCGCGTCGTCGGCAAACAGTCTTACAGCACAATTATCGTTAATAACTTCCTCAATGTCGTTAATGTACAATAAAAATAACAATGGTCCCAAGACAGATCCTTGCGGTACTCTCAAATTGACATTAATCTGATTTGACAATAATCCATTAAATTTAACCCTTTGCGTTCGATTTATTAGATAGCTCTTGAACCAATTTAATACCATTCCTTTAATTCCAAATCCTTTAAATTTTTTGAGCAATATTTCTCTATCTACAACCTCAAACGCTCTTTTCAAATCCATGAAGATTATTCCTATCATCTATCCTTCTCCAATTGTTTTTTTTCAACTAGATATCACCCATTGCAACGCTGTTTCGCACGAATGCTTAGCTCTAAATCCCGATTGATTTTCATTAATTAAAACATTCTTGTCTAAATATTCCACTATCTGTCTATGTGCTAATATCTCTAGTACTTTTTCATACACAGGTAATTTATTTATTGGTCTGAATTCCTCGATCTTTATCGTTCCTCCAATTTTTGGTATAGGAACAACAATCGATTCCTTCCATTCATCCGGAAATATACCCTGTTCTAGAGACTTATTAAATATCTGTGCTATTTTGTGGCCGGCTTCTTCCACTACAAACTTCATTATATCTACTGTAATTCCTTCTTCCGTGCCTGACTTATTTGGTAATTTCCTAATAATACTTTTTAAACTTTCATCTTCAATTTTTTGAAATACCTCCATAGTACTATCTGTATATTGCACATGATCTAATTCATCCTCAATCCATTCATTCTTCCTTAATTGTGTAACACTATCCACGAAATATTTATTAAATACAATATATCAGCCATCTCTTCTCTACTGCTTATCGTTACATTATTATACCTTAATTCCCTGTACTTTTTACCATTATCTTATCCTTTCAGTATTTCTTTCAAAACCTTCCATATTTGTTTCGGATCTTTCTTACTGTCATCTAATCTCTCTTTTAAGTATTCTCTCTTTGCTTTCCTGCACATATCTACAGTTTTATTCCTTATTTGCCGAAACTTCTCCCAATCTTCACCACATTTATTTACACGAGCCTTTCTATACGTCATATCTCTCTGTTGCATTTGTTTATAAATTTCATCACTAAACCATGACTTTCTCTGCCATTCCTTTCTCATTAATATCTCTTTCTTCGGCGCGACAATATCAAGGCATCTCACAATTGCACTTATCGCATCGCTCGCTATTTCATTAATACCGTTCTCTTCCACCACACCTAGTTCGCTTTCCACTAATCTCATAAATTCCAAAATATTCATTCTCTTATAGTCTCTACGAACAATCTTTTTATCCATTTCCCTATCAATTTTTCCTTTCCGTTTTACTACTATCATAGAGTGATCCGTTATTTTAGGTTCATGTCGCACTTCTACCTCAATATCATCATTAGCAAAGACTAGATCTATTATTGTTTCCGACGTTCTAACAATTCTAGTGAAATCATTGACCAATTGCTTCAATCCAACTGAATACATGTTATTTATTAATCTTCTTTGAATATAATTATCTACCTTTAAATCAATATTAAAATCACCCATAATAATCACATTCTGTCTTAATAACACATTATTACACGTATTCTCTAAGTAATCTAAAAAATTTGAATCACAATATTAGGTGAGTGATACACAACCATTACAATGCCTCTACAATTTCTGTCTTCAATATTTATTATTATCGACCACCAATTACCCTCATATTTTTCTATCGCTTTAATTTCAAAATCTGATCTTCTTGTCTATATATACTAATACCCCCCCGGTCCTAGTAGATTCAGAATTTCCTTGCACACACTTATATCTGTAAATTTGCAATTCGTGGTCCTGAATTTGGTTTGTTACATGTGTCTCTGTTAACCCTACTAAACAAGGCCTAAATTCTTTGAATAAAAGATTTTCAATTTCATCCTTATGTTTTAAAAAACCCTGTGCATTTAAACAATTACACAATTTTTGGCGCTTAACTCTTCTCGTTGCTATATGCTACTCTGTATTTTACTTTTGTACATTTCAATTTCTTTCTTTAAGCAAGGACAGTTATTGTCATATGCCGAGTAATCCGACTTCAAATTTTTTATCTTTATTCTCTTGATTTTGTCTTCACAGTTTACACACTTCCTTGCTGTACTATTACAATCCTTCGTCATATGCTGCCCCGCACACAAACCACACGTTTCTTTTTTTACACAATCTTTTGCAAAATGGAAATAACCACAACATTTGAAGCACCTTAGAATCCCTACATAATCCTGTACCTTACACATTTTTCATCCGATCTTCACTCTTCCTAGATCCAGCAGCTGCTTCCTTACGTCGGTATTTACTTCAATTATTAATGTAACTCCTCTAGATTTCAAATTTGCCGTTTTATGCAGTATCTTCCCTCGGACACCATCCCGTCCACATTCGTTTTGCTCTTCAACTTTTTCCCGAAAGTTCTTCTCATTTTCACAATCCTCTTTATCTACATCGAATATTTTTAACTTCAGTTTCCTTTTCTCAGGTTCCTTTACTATATATTTCTTCTCAAGATCTTCTGCTACTTTCTCTTTCAGTTTCTCCGCTTGTGCCTTGCTTTTGCATCCCACCACTACTGCACCTCTTGTCACTTTCTTTAATTTTGTTATTCCTACACCTAATTTCGAGACATTTATTTTACTTTTGATATCTTTCTTTGTGGTCTCACTCGAATTTTCGCCTTCAATTTCTTTCGGCTTGATTATTATGACCGCCTCAGACTTGCCTTTAACTGCTCCACTGTATGAATTCTTTAAACTTCTATCACTTTCATTTGTTAGATTCGACACTTCACCATTCAATTCTTTTCTTACCATTTCACTCACTAACGACTGTAGCTCGTCTGTCTTCCATTTCTGCAGCTGCTCCCTTACTCTATTCATTTCTTTCTCTATAGTTTCTCTTATAATACTCTTAATCATGTTCTTTTCTATCATTTCATTTCTGGTTTCCTTTACTAATTTATAAATTTTCTCAATTTTGGCATCCATATTATCATCGGTATGCTTCATCGATTCAGACCAAACTGGACGCACCTGCGTCGACACTTTCTCTTTTCTCATTTCCTTCGCCGCTGCCTCCTTCCATGGATCCACTTTTTTGTGTAAATATTTCAAATTTTCCTTTACACGGAATCAATTCGTTAACAGAATTATACATCTTATGCTGTTTATGGCAACTAGGATGAAAGCTTTTATCGCATGGTAAACATACGATTATCTCAGTCTTAATGCTTTTCCTACATTGCCTACATAAAGTAGGCACTGCTTTCTTCTCACTCATTACTTTCCCTGTTTTACCCACACAGCTATAGTTTTGAATTATGATTACTTGGAATCACACTTGTCACCTGCTGTCTCTTACATCACTCTACTTTTACAAAGTCACCATTATGGCGATTTCCACGAATCACCAAAGAAAATTTTTACTCGCGAGTTTGAGTCATAGATCTCTAATGCTTTTTTAAGATAACAATCTCTCTTATGCACCAACCTCCACACTCAAACACACTGTCCTCCAAATGTTCACAACTCTCTTCTCAGTCACTCAATCACTCACTTTTATCAGAGCTCCCACATAACACATACTTACTCTTACAGGCAAAGAGAGAGAGAGAGAGAGAGAGAGAGGAGGGAGGGGAGAGAAGAGGC